GGGTTTAGGGTTGTTGAGGGTTTTGAGGGTTCAGGGTTTTGTGTAAGGCTTTGAGCTTTATTTATGGTTATCGGATCCAGGGTTGTAAGATGATCTTGGGATTTGCGGTGTTGGGTTCAGGGATCTAGATTCACCGGTCAGCCGGTCAGTTCTGGTTCTACGGTTGATGATATAAAGCCTGCATTACCCATAATTAATAGGAAATATACCATACTTCCCATAGTTTTAGGGTTCTTAGGGTCATGCAGGATTTATATCATCAACGATAGTGTTCCGATGTTTGGGTTTAGGGTTGGGTTTTCCGGGTTGGAAGCTCGACAGTTCCAGGCCACTGTCATGACACAAACATTCCCCGTTTCATACTCGCAGGATGCAGGGAATTCGGGGGTCCGACCGATTTTGAACGTGTCCCAAAGTGCGAGGCCCAGGCGTGCAACTGAAAATTACCCTAGCTTCAGCCCTGAAGCCCAAAACAACTGTACCCGACGCCCCTAAAAAACCTCCAGAGATCTACTACACCCCTGAAGCGACGAGCCAAAAAGCCTTGAGCTCCTGAACCTAAACCCTAAACCCTAAACCCCTAATGAGGCCGTTGTCGGCCTCCTCGTCTTCGGCGGTACCGGCCTCAAGCATTACTTGGTGCTTCAGCAGGAACAGAGCCTCATCAAGAGGCAGAGCCTCGTCCGATCTTCTCTCGGTTTAGGGTTCAGGGTTTAGGGTTTAGGGCTTAGGGCTTAAAGTTTAGGGTTTGGGGTTTAGGGTTTAGGGTTTAGGTCTGTTCAAGTGAGAAGTTTATAGGGGTTCTGGGTTTGGGGGTGCTCGGGGTTTAGGGTTCAGGGTTTAGGGTGTTGGGGGGTTTTATAAAGTTCAGGGTTTAGAGTTCAATCTTTGCTGACCAGGTTTGAGGTTCAGGCTTGATTGTTTAAGGTTTCCCTTTTTGGGGTTGAGAGTCCGGGGTTCAGGGTTTGGGCTTTAGGGGTCAGGACGTCGGGTGTGGGGTTTAATTGTCTGAACAATATACTACTCATGAGAACTTATGGTCCTCATACAAGTGCTTAGCCTCGAGTGAACCCCTAATGATGAATCCCCACAGCCCCTAAAGAAGTGCTTCACGGACCGAAGACACCACAAGAAGCAGTTTGCAGCCCCCGTCAGACCCCACATAATGAAGCCAAGGGGCAGCAAGAAGGAAAGGGGTTTGGTTCGCTTACCCATAACAGCGATCATGTCAGAGACTCAAGTTATCTTGAAACGCCCTTTTTGGCTGTTCTAAACCCTAAAACCTTCAACCCGAAACCCCAAACCCCCAAACCCTAGACCCTAAACCCTAAACCCTAAACCCTAAACCCTAAACCCTAAACCCTAGAGCTTAAGCCCCAATCCCAGGAGTGGTCTCCTGAGTGCGAGTCTCTTTGCAACTCAGCTGGTGGTGTGCTTGCAGCTCGTGATCGTCATACAGAGCCTCAGAAGAAAGGTTCTGTCTTCTACAGTCCGGGGTCTGCGGTTTCGACGGGTTTAAGGTTTAGGGTTTGGGGGCCTGAATAATTACCTATACTATTTTTTGGGGGTTCCTTATTCTAATTATAGTATAATGGGCCCCCAACACCCTATTCTGATTATTGAGGGCCCTCTGTTTGGCTTTGGGGTTGCTCGGCAGTTTGGGACATGTCCTTCAACACCTGGAATGAAGTTTTGCAGGCGTATGGGGCGAGGGGTTTCCGGGCGAAGATGCGGCCCGCGCGATGCAGGGTTTAGGGTTTTGGGGTTTAGGGTTTAGGTTTTTTGGGTTTAGGGTTTTGGGGTTTGGGTTTAGGGTTTAGGGTTTAGGGTTTAGGGTTTAGGGTTTAGGGTTTAGGGTTTAGGGTTTAGGGATTAGGGTTTAGGGTTGGAATCCAAGGTCTGAGGAGGGGCTCGTGCCGTCCAGCAGTAGTACATGGCCTCCTACTGTTGATGGACAAAATCTTGCATGACCCAAATATAGTACAGTACCATAAATCCCATAGTTTAGGTATATAAGGTCATTCAGGATTTTGTCCATCAACAGTATCTCGTGACGGTGAGTAGCAGTCATTTGCTTCCTGAACCAGGGCAGGAAGCTTAGGGTTTAGGGTTTAGGGTTTAGGGTTTAGGGTTTGGGTGTAGGGTTTAGGGGTTAGGGTTTAGGGTTTAGGGTCAGTAAACATCTTAACTCAGCATACTGGTACAGCAGTTCTTGTGCACAGCAGCAGAGACCAACAACAATCGCAGTAGTCGGCAGCACTGCACGTACTGAGAAGATGATGGACGTGGCGATGGTAAGGACGGTGTTAGTAGTGTGGTAATGATGCTAGTAGGGTGCTATCATGATGATCGATGTTGTTGCACATCGCCGCGACTGACAATCAGCATCGTGCATTTCTGTCGACATCATCAGTATATCCCCGGCCCAGCTATAGTTGTTCTCAAGCATGTGGCAGCTATTGGATATTTATGCCCTTTATCCCTTAATCCTACTCAAACCGTGAACTGCAGCTCAGGAAGATCGACATCACCTGGGATGAGCCCTTTCTGATGCTTATGAAGATGCTCAGCTTCCTCTCCGCCGAGGTGATCTTCGAATCCCTGAGTGCAACTTGGTTCAGGGTGCAGGGTTTAGGGTTTAGGGTTCAGGGTTTAGGGTTCAGGGTTTAGGGTTTTAGGGGTTCAACTATTGGACGTCTAAGCCTGCCTAAGCTCTAAACTCCAAATAATAACCCCCTTGGCACCCAAATTCTCAACACCATACCGTTGACCTAAACCCTAAGGCGCGAAACTCTAAAATCTGTGCTCTAAAAACATATCCAACCCCGACTGGAGGATGTAGGATTTGATATTCCCCTAAACCCTAAACCCAAAACCCTAACCCTTAACCCGAAACCCAAAGCCCTAAACCCCAAACCCTAAACCCCAAATCCTAAACCCTAAACCCCAATCCCTAAACCCCAAACCCTAAATCCTAAACCCTAGTTGCCGGGTTTGAAGGTCCAGACGGGAGTGCTTCCTGAGGTTCAGGTTTAGGGTTTGGGGCTTAGGGTTTGGGGTTTAAGGTTTAAGGTTTGGGGCTTTGGGTGTGGGGTTTAAGGTTTAGGTTTTCGGGTTTAAGGTTTAGGTTTTGGGGGTTAAGGTTTGGAGTTTTGGGTTTGGGGTTTTGGGTTTTAGGCTACGGGTTTGGGGTTTAAGGTGTGGGGCCTAGGGCTTGGGGTTTAAGGTTAGGTTTTCGGGTTTAAGGTAAAAAGGGTTTTGGGTTTCCACAAGCGCACTTTCGTTAAGGGAGTCCATGACATGACAGGACTATGGGCTTGCCCGGCCTGCTTTCCTAAACCCTAAACCCTAA